CCCCACCAAAGCCATAAAACTATGAACGGCTTATTAGCACAAAGTCCTCGCACATTAAATGTAATTTCACGGTTAATTATTCTCACTTAAACTGATCCTTGCTAAGTTTGTACAAAGCTGACTTTTGACCACTATGTCACCACACCTGCGTAATTTAGCATATTGACAGGAAATTGAATATACTGACGTCAAAACGAAAGTGTACACACATCTTTGATGGATCTTCGATGATGAAGTATGTATATGGGTGTTATGGCGGCGATATCATATGTATGATACAGAATCGTGTGTTCGATTATTACACTTGAGCGACCCGAGACAACCAATGCTACCCTTTTTCTGATGGACATTACAATTGGTAACCCGATTAATCAAGGGTAAACTTGTATAGAATGTACAGTAATATGCAGTACAAGTTATCTTTTCTCACACATAAATGTCGCTTTCTGATTGGCTGAGCGCTCTTCTATTATTTTCAATGTACCCCGCTTACAAGCGAGTAACATTTCAATGTACCCCGCTGTCAATGGCAACTCATTTGGTACTTCGTGGTAGTATTTCTATATCTCGAATTACATTGAATCACGTAATGAGGTACGGAAATTACCGATGTTTTGCGAATGCAAATCGATGGAAAGCAGATAACTCTAAATCTGTTTTTCTTGTCAGCAAAATCTAGCGATGGCTACAAAAAGATTTGTACCCGTGCTTCAAACAATTCAAAATTAACATTAAGGTGTTCGGTAAGAGAAATACATTGTTCACTGGTCCCTCGGGGCCCATGGGTTGATGTACCCTCGATGTTTGTTTATGTTCGCCTCGCCCTCGTGACCAGTGAACAACTTATAATGGCCGCCATAGGGCGAACCCAATAGCCATGCGCATGATGCGAGTTGCTAAGTGTTGATTCAGACCGTAAACGTACTACTCGGTGTGAAGCCAACAAACTACATAACAATGTGATATAATTGGCCATTTCCACTTTCGCAAGTCGATTGTACAATTCTGACTTTACCATGAGTATGGGTTTTCATACGACGCATTCAATTGCACGACGCGGTCTGCAAACAATCGGGTGATTGAGCGTATGAGAAATGATGACTAAGCATGTGATTAATTACGACTATCAAACTGTGATGATTAGACTAACTAACGACTGACGGGAATGGGAGATTGTCTTTCTCGAGCTATATTAACTATACTGGACAAAAATAGTTAGGGATATATGTACATTTTGAAATTATGAATAATTATCTATTTATTTATTGACACACTGATAAAATATCAATCATAAAAATACCAATATCCCTAACTTATTGTGTCTGGTATTTTTTAATTTTCGAGCATTCACAAAATCCGACACAGACTACCAGGAGAAGGCGCGGAGCTCAGACTTACCCTGGGGCAGCAGACGGGATGGATGGGCTGCTGAGTGTTTGTCCCTCCTTGTCCATGGCTTGCCTTCTGCCGGTCTGCCCGCGCTCTTCCCGCTGTCTGCCGGCTCCTCATTGCTTGCCTGTCCTGAACGATGAACGAAGATGAACGACTAACAATCTGCTTAATTGGTCAATTTCTTACAAGCTCGACATATTTAAGTGAGTGGGTTAGTGAGTTTATTTTTACGCCGCACTCAGCAATATTCCAGCTATGTGGTGGCGGTCTGTAAATAATCGAGTCTGGACCAAACAATCTAGTGATCAACAGCATGAGCATCGATCTGCGCAGTTGGGAACCGATGACATGTGTCAACCAAATCAGTGTTACAGTTCGACTTCACACATGACAACCACTGTGTATAATAACTAGGACTGATTATCAGTATAGATCACAGAGCTCGATAATCTTTAAATGAATATAGTTCGAGTATCGATAAATATCGGATAAATAACTCAAAAGTGATTTAAAATATGAAAGTGTTCAACATGTTTCAGCTGAGTGGGCAGAGGTGACGCATTGCTTGGATTATCTGCAAAACGCCGGCCTCAACATACTTTAGGAGCAGCCCACGAATAATGCGTTTTATCGAATAATCATATCCGTGAACTGCGCTTTTCTCTAGCTGCGTTTAGTCGACTGTTACAATGGCGGTATGTTTGGACCAATGAAGTGAATGACATTCATTATTTTGGTGCGTACAGTTCTGGCATTATTTCATGATTTTGTTTCCTTTCTTCTTGTTGGGTTAATAACCAAACCACTGTTCAAAGCGCTATGAATCAAACTCAATCACCCATCAACACGCCACAGTTCTATGTGTGCCCTTCATCAGGTACGCCGATCTCGTACTGGCCGCAGTCGGTTTACTCATGACTATCTGCTGAAAACGGATGGGATGGGCCCTCCATGTGTGTCTCTTGCGATGAAGTGTTTATCATCAATCATATTCCGCTTGACTGTGTGGACTTTTCAAATGCAAGTGACTCACATTATGATGCGACAAATCTGAAAGATCTGTTTCCCGGTGTGAGCGGACATCTCATTGTTAACTACTTGAGGGAACTTGACCTGTATTATAAATTGTAATAATGTAATGTGAATGGCGGATTGCTTGTTTTTAAATTTTGTGTTATGTTTGCACTTAAAATGTCCATGTATGAAGACTTGGTATCGTTGCTATATGGCTGAGATAATGTTGATGTGACGTAATACTCAACTCAACCCATCAGTTACCTTGTGAGGCAACCCTAACGAACACACCAGCCATGCTCTAGTCGCTTAAACGTTTTAGTTGTCTAGTTAAATCTGGAAATCTACAACCCCTGAAATGTGAAATATCAAACCAGAAATGCTGAGGAAATGTCAAAAAAACTCGTAAACGAGAACATTTTACAGACACGAGTTCATACCGGGTGAAGACCTACCACAGCGTGATGTATTACTTCCCTGTATCTGGGTAGAAACAGGGCTTGTTCTGTTACATATAGGTATACTACCCGGACGTGAGTGTATTACTTCCCTGTATCTGGGTAGAAACAAGGCTTGTTATGTTACATATAGGTATACTACCCGGACGTGAGTGTATTACTTCCCTGTATCTGGGTAGAAACAGGGCTTGTTATGTTACATATAGGTATCCTACCCGGACGTGAGTGTATTACTTCCCTGTATCTGGGTAGAAACAGGGCTTGTTATGTTACATATAGGTATCCTACCCGGACGTGAGTGTATTACTTCCCTGTATCTGGGTAGAAACAGGGCTTGTTATGTTACATATAGGTATACTACCCGGACGTGAGTCATCTGGAGAGATGTGTAAACTGAGAACAAACTCCACTCCAGGGACAGCACACTGTTGAAGCATCGCATACAAACATGTAAGTATTAAATATATTTTAAACGTCTAATGTGTTATAATACAAGTGATTCTCGTTTTCTACAATGTGAACACACCACACGTCTGGGCTGTGTGTACATACATACACTTCCTTGCTTGATTCTACAATGTGAACACATAACACGTCTGGACTGTGTGTACATACATACATTTCCTTGCTTGATTCTACAATGTGAACACATAACACGTCTGGGCTGTGTGTACATACATACATTTCCTTGCTTGATTCTACAATGTGAACACATAACACGTCTGGGCTGTGTGTACATACATACATTTCCTTGCTTGATTCTACAATGTGAACACATAACACGGCTCGGCTGTGTGTACATACATACATTTCCTTGCTTGATTCTACAATGTGAACACTTAACACGTCTGGGCTGTGTGTACATACATACATTTCCTTGCTTGATTCTACAATGTGAACACATAACATACATACAATTCCTTGCTCGATTCTACAATGTGAACACATAACACGTCTGGGCTGAATGTACATACATACATTTCATTGCTTGATTCTACAATGTGAACACATAACACGTCTGGGTTGTGTGTATATACATACATTTCCATGTTTGATTCTACAATGTGAACACATAACACGTCTGGGCTGTGTGTATATACATACATTTCCATGCTCGATTCTACAATGTGAACACATCACACGTCTGGGCTGTGTGTACATACATACATTTCCTTGCTCGATTCTACAATGTGAACACATAACACGTCTGGGCTGTGTGTACATACATACATTTCCATGCTCGATTCTACAATGTGAACACACCACACGTCTGGGCTGTGTGTACATACATACATTTCCATGCTTGATTCTACAATGTGAACACATAACACGTCTGGGCTGTGTGTACATACATACATTTCCTTGCTTGATTCTACAATGTGAACACATAACATGTCTGGGCTGTGTGTATATACATACATTTCCTTGCTCGATTCTACAATGTGAACACATAACACGTCTGGGCTGTGTGTACATACATACATTTCCTTGCTTGATTCTACAATGTGAACACATAACACGTCTGGGTTGTGTGTACATACATACATTTCCTTGCTCGATTCTACAATGTGAACACATAACACGTGTGGGCCGTGTGTACATACATACATTTCCTTGCTTGATTCTACAATGTGAACACATAACACGTCTGGGCTGTGTGTACATACATACATTTCCTTGCTTGATTCTACAATGTGAACACATAACACGTCTGGGCTGTGTGTACATACATACATTTCCATGCTCGATTCTACAAAATCAGACACCCGGGTTCTGAAGTCTGTTATGTAATAATTTTTTGTTCACATGTTTGGTAATCATCACGAAGATCAGTGTATGGCTCAATATAGAACAAACTTTATGGATAACAACTTCTTTTTATTCGTGAGTGCGACGTTTCGATACAGATTCTTGTACCGTTGTCAAGCATAATGGGACATGAAGGGGGAAGTGTATATATACTGGATGTGACAATGTGATAAAGAAAACAACATAATTAACATAATTGGCTAGGGAGAAGGTAAGCTGGTTCCCGGCTCCCTTTGCGCGCGCTAACGTTCGACAAAGCTAGGAGCCGGTAAAGGCTGCCATTTAAAACGCCCTGCTCGTTTATTTGACGTCACATCCGGTGATGTATTTTTAAACCTAAATATGGATTCGCTCATGCCGATCAAGGCGAGGGGCACACCTGTGAAAAACGTAACATCTTGTGTTTGCTGTGGCAAAGCTAAAAATGATGGGGGCGGGCAGTTTTACCGGATCGAGTGTAAACAAACGAAAGCTACCGAGAATTCTCTCGCGATTCTTTTGGAGCGCTACGGTGGATTGATGGTTGTTCATGGATATGCATGCAGGAAATGTCATGACAGGTAAGCTGACAATAACGTACTTTTGATAGAAAATGTATTGACCTTTGTAGATTACTGATAAGTGTCACATTGTCGCACGCTGATGTTTGGGGAGTACTGCACTTTACCGGGCGCACTGTTTCAGATTAATTAATTAGCGTTGCTGGGGTTCCCTAACCCCTAACCCTAAGGATCGTAAAGGATGGCATACCCTAACCCTAAACCCTAAGGATCGTAAAGGGTGCCATACCCTAACCCTAACCCTAAGGATCGTAAAGGGAGCAGCGAGGGCTGCGCCCGGTAAAGTGCATTCTAGCCGATGTTTGTATAGAAGTGTATGTGACACAATCAGCTGGACCGGGGATTTAGCTATTTTTAGACATGGAAAACCCCGAAACCGTAAATCGGTGTCTCTGGCAGTGAAAGTAAACTTTGGCTCATATTCGTTACAGTACTCAGTATATGCAGTGTAACGAATAATACTGAGCCTAAGTTTATTTATACTGGTGTCTCTGGTCTCTTTCTTTGTATCCAATTGACATTTCGATACTGGCAAACAGGGATTTCGACAAAATAACACCCCAAAACATATCCAACATGAAAACACCGTTACAGTCACCCTTGTGAAAAAATAATTTATAATTTATTTTTTTATTTGTGTGCTTGTGCACTTGTATGTATTTAGCTATGTGGATAAATCATACTTGTTGGAAAAACCACTACAGGATTTTGAATATCAAACACTTTAAGGAAAGTTTTCATGAAATTCTAATATATGATGATGTTTATTATGCATGCTCATATTTCATGTAATGAGTCTCAATCGTACTAACTCTCACACCCTTATAACAAATATTTGAATGCATATACATGTATTATCACATGTATCGTTCATGTTCAGAGTGAAGAGGATTCACACATTAACGAAAGACTTCTGGGACATGTGTCAAGAATCAAGCAAATCAACTAAAACAAAACGGTGAGCCCCCTCAGTGTGTTCAAACATCAATAAAGGGATATATTAGAAGTTGTTTGGATAGGAAGTTGTAGAAATTGTAATGTTAAAATCAGATCAGTTTTAAACCTACCTTGGAACCCAGAAGTTTCTGGATTTGGAGCAGAATCTTTTAGGTTGATATTAACTAAATCATTAAAATCAATTATGAAAGTAAGATTTATAGAATTTAAAATATAATTAAACAATGGATAAAAAGGACTGTAACTCCCATAGGAAAAAATGCTACTATCAAATGTTGCTTAACTTCACCTGAATTATGACCTGAGCTCTATGCACAGGAACACACACAGTCATAATCGGAATGATATTTTCATAAAACCCTATAAAACCACTCATGATACTAAGATGGGTGCAATTCAGGCTGCTTCACAGAATCTTTCCATTCAATACATACCTGAATAAAATGCACATTGTTGAGATTAATCTTTGTACATTCTGTGGGGCTGAGTCTGAATGCATATTTGACCTATTATTTGCAGTTGGTTTGAACAGTGCCAATTCCTATAATAAGATTATTTGACCTCAGTGGTGTAAGCAGTTAATCAATCATGCACAACCTACAATTTTTAATCATTATAGCTATGAAATAACATGTCATCGCGTGGAATCACAGTATAATTATATCCATGTTCTTGTTTACAGATGTGCATCCTCACCCCTGACTCCTTCAGTGTCCAATGAACCCATGATTTCTAACCACAGAAAAGTACAGAGACGACTAATTATGTCTGCTGAGGAACATACTTCATCCTCACTGTCAGGGGCTTCTGATCCCGATAAGGTGGCACTCATTGATGAAATAGGCTATGAGTGTAATGTGAGCACAACAAAGCGTGATTATCATGATCATACGTACTTCAAAGATCCAGATAACTCTGAAACAGGTGGGAAGAATTGCAAGATTACATCACCCAATATGTCCAGAACTTTAGGCTCCAGTCGGTTGCTTGCCAATTCTCTTATAAACTGTGATGCCTCCTTGAGACAGAGTTTGACTTGTTCTGATATCTATCTTTTGACAGAAGCTATTAATTCCTTCTCAGTTTTCTCTGCTGCTGAAGCAGTGATGAAGATTCCACATTTGAAATCAGCCATAGAAAAACATTTTCTTCAAAAAGTAGACCATAGTGTTTCAGAGTTGAACCGCAGGAATGTTGAACATGGCTATGTGTCTGAACTTATGGCCAAAGACTATAACAATCTTTCTGATTTCAAATGGCAAACTGTTGTGGAAGAAATTGCTGTCAAAGTTCCTGAATTGCTGAATATGATGATTACAGTCTGTGTTGGACATGGTGGTGTAACCCCGGGAGAAGTTGGAAACAATGTTGCCAAGAATAGGAATGGCTTACAGTATCCTAGTACAGGCTCGGCATCATGAACTGAGCAGGGTGCAGAGGATCATGACAATGTGCCTTCATGACAGTACCTGCGAACAAAAGGTAAATCATATATTTTTTCAATCAAGATGATAACAGAAAAAGCTTTTGTGTGCTGATAAAAAGGAAATAGGTCTCTCGGAATAGACCTCTTGATAATTTGCTTCATATGTGCAAATCAATGTAAACTGAGGGAAACAAATAAGGGATCACATGAAAGCACAAGTGTTCCTTTACTTTTTTCCATCTTTATTCAAAAGTTATGCAATACAAGGCTTGTGAAGATACCTTGAAAAAAAATAAAGGATCACTTGTGCTTTCATGCAATCCAATTTTTTTTTACCTCAGTATATGTCATGCGAATGTATGCATAAATTTACAGAATCCAATTCCTTATTTTCAGGTCTTTGACCGGCTACAGCAAATTGGCGTGTCTCTCAGTTATGGCAGGAGCCTTTTTCTGTTGAATGAAGTTGGAGGACATTTCAATGACCGGGTCATACAGGCTGTCAGTGAGGGACGCAGGTTTCGCATCATTGGCGACAATTTAAATTTTCATGTTGATGTTCAGGACATGAGAAAAGACAGGCAGAGCAGTTATCATCACATGTTTGCCTCGGCTATCATTTTACAGACACAGGTTGACACTTCCATGCTGCAAAATGTCCCGCAGAAGAGCATTGACAATCTTCTAGTGAATGATGTCCTTATCTCAAACACAGAGCTTGATGTTGTGAAAGATGAATACATTAAATTAGTGTGTGACATTGCCAGTGAGCACATACCTTCTCTAGCATTCATGGGGAAGTGTGTTCCATCGTTCTTACTTGGCCCTCACAGTGAGCAGTTAAAAAGAAAGAATGAAGTCATTGCCTTGCCAGTTTTGCCTTATAATGAGCAGTCCTATGCTGATGATGTCAAGATTCTTGCTTACTATGAAGACACCATTCAAGAAATTTACACTTCTGCTGGGCTTCCAGTAGATAGTAGTGTGAAAGTTCACATTGGTGGGGATCAACTGACAAGAGAACGCTTCAGTCATGCAAAACGTTTCAGGATTGGCAATTTACTTGCACATGAACGATTTGACCATCTTGGTCCTACCTCATTCGAGCTATTTCATCTGGACATGAACTTCCTTGAAAAGATTGCTTTCAGGTATCTATACAATGAAGGCTCCTCAAATGAATTTGGAACAATGAAGTCTGAGCAGCAGCGTATTTTACGCAAAAATGTTGATCCAGATGTTCGCAAGGCATATGATGCTGATCAAGCCTACTTCATCTCCTTTGTCAAGAGCTACATTGTAGCCCTCTTGCTCAGTTTCTTTGGCATGGACACTTCAGATGGAACACCAACAAAAAATGTACCACCGCCATTTGCAGATGAAAGTGAGAGGAAGGCCTGGGTTAGGAATACAGTGGGTGACCTCGTAGAGGAACATGTACTAGCTACATGGCGTGGCAAATCATGTAAACAACAGGTTAATGTGGGAAGGAGAGACATCATCCAACTTGTGCCAGTAACCTTGAAAAATGGCACTCAAAAGAATCTGCCAGTGTATAGTCCAGAGGTAACATTTATGCCACCACAGGAAGATTATGTTATGAATTACAGTAGTCTTGTCGTTGATCTGGGACTCCTTTATCTGAATTTTCGTGATGCGTGTCATGTTCCAAATCGTGACCGCATGATGAGAATATTTAAGATGTTCTTACCAATCTTCAAAGGGACCAACAATCAATCAAAATATGCTCTGGAACTGCTCCGATTCTTGATTCAGCATACTTCCATACTGAGCGAATGTGAATCACACAGAGTTTTCTATGGCCTGTTTGTGAACAACCAAGGACACATTGACACTCATATCAGAGCAGACCAGCAAATGGAGTACATAGTGAAGAAGCAGAAAAAGCTAATCAAACACTGTTACTCCAACAAGACTAATAAAAATATCGTGCGACACACTGCTGCTGTCCATGGTGTGTCCACAATTGGAGAAAGCTTTGATGCCGCCACCAAAGTTATCAGGCGTGCCAAAGCTCATCCCGAACTTTCAGCATTGATGGATGAAAAATCCATGGTATCTGACATTATAAGCATTAAACCATGGAGTCATTCTGCAAACAGGAAATTTGAACATTTTCCCAGAATTCAGAGAACACTTGTTGACAAAATAGATCCTGCTGCCTTCCGGAAATGGTTTTCCGAAAAGAAAATGTATTTCTTCCATGAGGTTGGGAAGTAATACATAGTAGTTCAGATGTATCTGATTTACTGCTATTCACAGGACACTGTTTCAAGTTTGCTTGATTGTTGACTGTTGTTGCCTCATATAAGCTATAACTGTATACTCCTTGACAACATTTACCTCTGGGGCTGTTACTTTTCAGTCGGGACTATTCAGATTGTTGAACTGTCTCCCTTCATGAATTCAGTTCGCTATTTGCAATCACTAAGGTTGAAATGTTCATGAAACGTTTTAGGAGTGTTTTAACTTGAATTTGTGTTTGATTTATCAAATTGAGATATGGAAAATGGAATGTATCCAACCAAGCAGAATGACTATCAACACTCATATCTTTTATTTCATATTCCACACTGTTCCAACTTCTAAATGCCTCTAAAAGAAGCACTGTGTCAACATGGACAAAACACATCAAAGAATATACTTTGTTATTATTTCACTGAATACTATAAATAATACATCAACTGATGACATTTTATTGGATTCATGGCTCAATACCTGTGGCATGTATCATATTTTCTTCATACATTTGGTGCAGCCCTAGTTATCTCCCCTTGTCTATAATTAACTGATCTTATAAATACTCTTTTTATAAGATGACCGCTTGTTAACCTTAACCATCTCAATTTTGTGTACTGTCATCAAAACTATTGTATCTTTATTGTATATGGTATACAATCCATATTGCATATTCATGGGGAATGATAATGTTGAACCACATATTTGAGAAGACATGCAATATTGTCCAAATAGGCAAGATCAATGTCTTTGAACTCTGACTTAAGAATGTCCACATTGCTAAATCTGTTATAGTCAGCTGATATTTTGGAGGCCAGTTTCTTATCAAGCCCTGTTTGCAAGTTTGAAAACGGTACATCAGCAACTTGATTTTCAGCTTCAAAATAATCAGTTAACAACTGTGAAGCCATTTTAACAGCAGCTTTCCTGGGTGCAGGAATTTGCTCATTGCTCTCCTGAGTCGAGAGATGGAAGTCAGTTTCGAATACTTTGTGTATAATACATTCAGCACACTGACATGTTTTTGAGCAATTGTCACAACAACGATGACCTGGTTCTGGTTGGACACATTCAAATTCAAAATAATTCATCAAAGTCTGTCTTCTGCATTTGCTAGTGGTGCAGAAATCTTTCATTTCCTTTGAGAGATGTTTGACATTTGAAGCTATGTCTGATTTGTTCATGTACATTATTGCCTCTGCATGTTCACCATCACGCCCAGCTCGACCAGTTTCTTGCAAGTAAGCTGCAAACCAAAATATCATTATCATTCTGTGCAAAAAACCTAAGAGTAATACTGTCCTATTTTTTAATTGGTGTCTGAACAATTCCTGTTATTGTATTCTACTTTATGATTGCTTTGTTCCATCACCCAACTAAGCACTCAATAAATATACTGAACAAGCCTTTCGCAACATGGCAATGACTAAAACTAATCTGAAAATGGCTTCATTGTGATAATGTAAAAAATATGGAGAGATTGCGAGTTTGTTTCATATTAAGCATGCAAATGTGTGTTCATTTTCAGTACCCAATTGTTGAACCAGACATATAGTCTTCTAATTTATTGATTTAATTATTTCCATTTTGCTTACTTTCTAGCGTTGAAGGTGGTCCAATGTGAATAACCCTTCTTATATCAGGTGCATCAGTGCCCATGCTGTATGCCTCAGGGGCTAAAAGTAGCCTTACATGGCTATTGGGAGACTTGAATATACAAGACAGTTCTTGTTTCAGCTGAAAACAAAGGACTAATTATTTATAGAGAAGCAAGGCTTGCTTTCCAAAACAAAGTAAAAATTGACACTTAATCATAAATTCTAAAATGTTAATGTATTTTGACATGAAAACATGTGTCTTGAAAAGTGCTATTAATTATCCACAATTGGTTCATTTCAGGACAATACTGGGAAATTATAAATATATTAGTAGCAGAGGTAAATTATTGATAAATACTACTTAAACCGCTTACTGCATCAACTTGCGGTGCATGATACTGTCCAAGCCTGGCAGTGTATTGACTATTAGAAGTGTAACAGTGGAGTTCTTCGTCGCCCATTATTTGAAGTGCCAATTCATGGCCATATCCACACCATTTCAGCTTGCTGAAGAGAACTGTTTTGGGGAAGGATCTTCCTTTCTCCTGTAAAAATATACTTGTTTCTTAAAATGCCTCTCACCTAGTATTTTGTGAAGAATTTTTAAACTATACTCAAACAAAATTCAATTCAGGACAAATTAATGTGTATTTGCCAGATTTACAGATATCATTTCAAAATTCTGCAGATACATTTTTCACTTATCAGTTACTGTTTCATGTTTCTGCTGAATAATGTTATTAATAATGCAATCAGTCTTGTATGAAGACCATGTTCATGTACACATTTTTGATTATCTAGGTACTTATCATTAATATTTACCAAATTTTTCACTTTGTATCAAAGATGGTGTTATGTCATTAGTGCAGTACAGTTAATTAGTTGCTGCTTGCATCTTAGTTCTGATGATATAACTAAGATATGTATTGTTTCATCTGAAGATAGTAATGATATATGTGATTAAAAAGAGAACATGATTAAAACGGTATTATTTATTGTGTGCATTAATGATAATATATAAGAGATGTATTTTGTCAGTCAGCAAAGTTTACTGCTGTCATTTTAGAAATGAGATCTGTATGTGATCGGTGTAATAATAGAATTCACATATTTGCCATGATTATGAAATGTGATTATTAACTGCTATCTAACTGCTAAGTGAAATGTTATTCTGCATTTGCTGTAAAGACATTACCACATCATTTGCTGTGGTATGATATAAATTCTGTACCTTTAATTCCATTAATATTGGCCTCAATACCTCTCCATAAGCATCTTCTGATGTTTTGTTTACAGAATTATGGGAGGGTCTCTTATTCACTGAATAAAACAGGTTTGGGCGATCACATGATGCTGATACTAAGTAGTAATTAGCACAAAACCTGAGGTGTTTTGCTATGCATTTTTGTGTTGTTTTTGTAGCTGTTGCAGTCATTGCAACAACTTTTGCGTTCGGTAGAATAGCCCTTAGCGTGTCAAGATGCTGATAATCTGTGCGGAAACTGTTGCCCCACGTATCGATGCAGTGAGCCTCATCAACAATGATGTGAGATATCTGCCTCTGATACTTATTTTTTTTCAGATCACAGAGAAACACCTTCTGTAATAACTGCTCAGGGTGTCCAAGAATATATGTGGGCATGTTGGAGCTTTTGTCTCCCATGTGGTCTGGCAAAATGTGCATGCACCTTTCAGCGTAAAATTTCACTTTTTCGTTGATGATTGCATTCAAGGGACTCACGACGAGAATTGATGTTAGATAATCTTGCAAGTGACATTTGCATATAGCAGTGCACGTACACGCTGCCTGACAACGTCTGACTCCAATATAATAGGGAATTAGTTCGTAAGCCAGACTCTTTCCGAACCCAGTGGGCAGAACGGTCATTACGTCACCAATTTCTGAGGCGTACACAATGTCAATTTGTTGATTTTTCAAACAAAACACAGGAGTTTCTAAATCTACGGAGAAACGAAATAAGGCACATTTTAGGGCATTAACTCTACCCAGCTTGTCTCCAATGTTCATCGTGATTTCAATAAAGCTGTGATCACTTGGGTATGTAAATGAAATAAAAAATACTACGGCGTTTATAGTAACTCGATCTAAACGTAAACACAGCTAGCAGACGAAGCGTAGGGAGTCTAAAAATAACAACCAATAGAAACGTACGTAACAAAGTCATCATGACAGTCGTTCACAGCCATCGTCTCTTTGGCCTATACCGGCTCGTATATTGCGATATGCGAGACGGGGCCCAGCTTAGGGAGAAGGCTGATGAAGCCAGAGAGTAGACAAAGGACAGGCGTAGAAGCCAGTGGTGTACAAATGATAATGACATGTTTATACAGCAGTGAGTTTATACAGTGGATTGGGCTTGGTGGATGAGTGCATCATAAGCGGATGGAATGAAGTATCCTTGGTCTCGGTTGATGGTGGGCTTTTGGCGTTTGATGTGGATGGCTTCGGTGAGCTTGCGTTTAGTGAAGTCTGTTTGTTTGTTAGAGAGAATGGTGATGTCAGACCACTCTATTTGATGACTGGGGCTTGCTTTGATGTGGTCGGAAATGGCTGATTTGCTGTCGGAATTGGTAACAGAGGTTACTTCCCAACTTCTAAAATGCCACTCAAAGAAGTTAATGTATGGCTCCTCGTGTTCGGTAAACTCTAGAGTTACGATAGGTCGTAACATTACGAATGCTTTGTGGATGGGGACCCTGGTGACTTGTCACCTCGATGCTTTTGAAAGTTAGGTTATGAGGAAAACAATGCCGAGGTCGAATCCCCAAACCAGTGTCCCCTGCACAGGTGTCTCCGTCACATATTGCGGGTACATTGCTATCAGTTGAGTACACACTGAACTCATTCACTTACCTTGTGAAAACATTATTGTATGCGTCAGTGCACTTATGTCACTTCGACTGTTACCTACTTATGTTACCAAATATGTCCTTGAGGCAGCTTCACCAATCACCATAGCCCCACCATGTCAGCCATTTAAAAAAGGGGCGGTGGGGTAGTCTAGTGGTGAAACCGTTCGCTCGTCACGCAGGAGACCGCGCTTCGGTTCCCCACATGGGTACAGTGTGTGAAGCCCATTTCTGGTGTCCCCTTCCCTTAATATTACTGGAATATTGCAAAAAGCGGCGTAAAACTAAACTCACTCATTTCGAAAAAAATTACAATTGTAATATCCTTCGTGAAAATTACCGGCAAATCAAATGAATATCGTGGCGTGATTTAAAAACCTTCCATGTTCATACTTTCGTATCATGTACGCCGTGAACCCGTCAATAACGCCTAGTCGTCTCTCAAGGCCATTTCGCTTTCTCTGATTCGGCCTCAATACTTCCGGGTTCAATCAGTAGTGACAAGTGGTTGTGTCCTGCTAGTTAGGATGTTATACATTAAGTCCAAGTATCAATACCGCTTATTAACATCCTGCACACCACAATGTTACGTTGTATCACCTTACTTGAGTTAGTGAGTTTAGTTTTACGTCGCATTTAGCAATATTATAGCAATTTCACGGTTGGGGTCCTAATTTGAGAAAAGTATAGACTCGTTTCATTTTCACATGATGTGTCCAGATTAGTTGCCCAATGTACAGCGAGTTAGATTGGTGACACAGTGTTCCAGTCACCTCTACTTTATGACGGGGCGGTGGGGTAGCCTAGTGGTTAAAGCGTTCGCTTGTCACACCGAAGACACGGGTTCGATTCCCTACATAGGTACAATGTATGTGATGACTCCTGCCGTGATATTGCTGGAATATTGTTAAAAACGGCTTAAAACCAAACTCACACACTTATGTCAGCCTGTTTTGAACTGTCTGTAGGTTGAACGTATCGGATCATAATAAGCAGAGTTAGGTAATTAACCAACACCGACAACGACAGACACGATAGATAAATTTATATATAGAGAGAGTTATCTCCCATCCATCGATTTGCTTTTGCAAACATCAGTAATTTCAGTACATCATATGGGACTCAAATGTTCGAGATAAAGAATTTCTAACACGATGCACCAAATGAATTCCCACAGTTCGCCATTCCTAGCGAGTAACAAAGCAAATGTTGTAAGCGGGGTACAATTCAAATAACAGAAGAGCGCACAGCCAATTAGAAAACGACATTTATGTGAGAGATAAGCTAAAGAAAATACATCAGTTAAAATATATATATCAGAGATCATTCCATAGCTTTCAGATGTTCTAAATACCAGGTTGTCCGGTAGAACTAATGGTACACACTGGAAACAAGTTGAATGTTTCTGTCACGTTTATTACATTCGTAAATGTCTCTCTACGCCAGTAGTACAACATGACTGTATAATAATAGTAACTTGTACAGTGTTATCCTTCAGATCACAACATGACTATACAACAATAGTAACTTGTACAGTGTTATCCTTCAGATCACAACATGACTATATAATAATAGTAACTTGTACAGTGTTATCCTTCAGATCACAACATGACTATATAATAATAGTAACTTGTACAGTGTTATCCTTCAGATCATAACATGACTATATAATAATAGTAACTTGTACAGTGTTATCCTTCAGATCACAATATGACAATATAATAATAGTAACTTGTACAGTGTTATCCTTCAGATCGTAACATGACTATATAATAATAGTAACTTGTACAGTGTTATCCTTCAGATTATAACATGACTATATAATAATAGTAACTTGTACAGTGTTATCCTTCAGATCATAACATGACTATATAATAATAGTAACTTGTACAGTGTTATCCTTCAGATTACAACATGACTATATAATAATAGTAACTTGTACAGTGTTATCCTTCAGATCACAACATGACTGTATAATAATAGTAACTTGTACAGTGTTATCCTTCTAGATTATAACATGACTATATAATAATAGTAACTTGTACAGTGTTATCCTTCAGATCACAACATGACTATACAATAATAGTAACTTGTACAGTGTTATCCTTCAGATCACAACATGACTATATAATAATAGTAACTTGTACAGTGTTATCCTTCAGATCACAACATGACTATATAATAATAGTAACTTGTACAGTGTTATCCTTTTAGATTATAACATAACTATATAATAATAGTAACTTGTACAGTGTTATCCTTCAGATCACAACATGACTATATAATAATAGTAACTTGTACAGTGTTATCCTTCAGATCACAACATGACTATATAATAATAGTAACTTGTACAGTGTTATCCTTCAGATCATAACATGACTATATAATAATAGTAACTTGTACAGTGTTATCCTTCAGATCACAACATGACTATATAATAATAGTAACTTGTACAGTGTTATCCTTCAGATCACAACATGATTGTATAATAATAGTAACTTGTACAGTGTTATCCTTCAGATTATAACATGACTATATAATAATAGTAACTTGTACAGTGTTATCCTTCAGATCACAACATGACTATATAATAATAGTAACTTGTACAGTGTTATCCTTCAGATCACAACATGACTGTATAATAATAGTAACTTGTACAGTGTTATCCTTCTAGATTATAACATGACTATATAATAATAGTAACTTGTACAGTGTTATCCTTCAGATCACAACATGACTATATAATAATAGTAACTTTACAGTGTTATCCTTCAGATCATAACATGACTATATAATAATAGTAACTTGTACAGTGTTATCCTTTTAGATTATAACATGACTATATAATAATAGTAACTTGTACAGTGTTATCCTTTTAGATTATAACATGACTATATAATAATAGTAACTTGTACAGTGTTATCCTTCAGATCACAACATGACTATATAATAATAGTAACTTGTACAGTGTTATCCTTCAGATCACAACATGACTATATAATAATAGTAACTTGTACAGTGTTATCCTTCAGATCATAACATTGCTGTATTCCCCCCAAATAGCAATGGTCGAACATGGTGCTGGTCAGCGTTCACGTAACTGCTCTCAATGTGCGGGTCAAGAGGAGGCCTGGAGATAAACCACCTCAAGGAGAGTGTTCCAACTTCTGGCTGGGTGGAATTTCTAAGCTGCACTTTTACACCTGCTGCAACAACTTGAATGAAGGTACCCATCCTCGTTGCGATGGTCGCACCTATCAACGAGCATCTAAAGAATCCTACTGTATGCCTGGTGGGTTCGACGACGGGAACGGTAAACAACACGCATCCTACCGTTGTGGGGGATGTGACGGACAGACACAGGTTGCTGAGAAATGCGAGCCATGGCCTTGACTCGATGTTGTAGGAACATGCTGGGTGTTCACTAAGTGCTTCACAGACTACTGCGAGGAGCGGTACCGACTGAAGGGTTTGAACCTCGCGGTAGGAGATGGGTCAAGGATGCCAAACACCTGCTACAACGGAAAGTGTGATGTCGGAGAAACAACCGACAACTGCCCAGTCGACTGTTGCTATAAGAAAAACAAACAGTGTATCTGGGGTAACAAATGTCTGCCACAGTTTTGTGCCACGCCGTCTTGTGAAAATGGAGGTGATGGTATCCCTATAGCTGGGACTATAACCATCTACATCCTGATTGTTGCTCTGCTAGTGCTGGGTATATAGGCTGAAGGGTCACTGCTGGCACTACAACTATCTACATCCTGATTGTTGCTCTGCTGGGGCTGGGTGTAAAGGCTGGAGGGTCACTGCTGGGACTACAACTATCTACATCCTGATTGTTGCTCTGCTAGTGCTGGGTGTATAGACTGGAGGGTCACTGCTGGGACTACAACTATCAACATCCTGATTGTTGCTCTGCTAGTGCTGGGTGTATAGGCTGGAGGGTCACTGCTGGGACTACAACTATCAACATCCTGATTGTTGCTCTGCTAGTGCTGGGTGTATAGGCTGGAGGGTCACTGCTGGGACTACAACTATCAACATCCTGATTGTTGCTCTGCTAGTGCTTGGTGTATAGGCTGGAGGGTCACTGCCGGGACTACACCTATCAACGTCCCGATTGTTGCTCTGCTAGTGCTGGGTGTATAGGCTGGAGGGTCACTGCTGGGACTACAACTATCAACATCCTGGTTGTTGCTCTGCTAGTCCTGGGTGTATAGACTGGAGGGTCACTGCTGGGACTACAACTATCAACATCCTGATTGTTGCTCTGCTAGTCCTGGGTTTATAGACTGGAGGGTCACTGCTGGGACTACAACTATCTACATCCTGATTGTTGCTCTGCTAGTGCTGGGTGTATAGGCTGGAGGGTCACTGCTGGGACTACAACTATCTACATCCTGATTGTTGCTCTGCTAGTCCTGGGTGTATAGGCTGGAGGGTCACTGCTGGGACTACAACTATCTACATCCTGATTGTTGCTCTGCTAGTCCTGGGTGTATAGGCTGGAGGGGAGATCAAGGCGCCGAGTACATCCAATAAATAACATCATCGTTGTTTTGTGAACGAGCCCCTTGGAGAAGACAAATATGTTCATGGTGCAATACCTGATTGTTTTGTTCCGACGTCATCATCTACAGACCACCGACGTGATTGAATTAATAATTAGTGTTAATATTTCACAAAGAAACAAGCACATCAACTTTAACTCCATCCAAATATGAACAAAGTTTTCTAAACACTTTTCACCTTCTTTGCGATTGGAAATGGAAATATAACAGACTAATCTCCCGTGTTACACTATCTTAGGCCTGCCAGGATCACATTGATAAAGAGTGTCGCACATAAGTATGTATGTTGGCTGTTCATATAGAGTTAAGGTAACAGATCCAAGCTTCAGTGCATTTATCTGTGTTTATGATCCACTCAAATCACATGTACCAGCTAAAACGGTGGCATACAAGCCGAACAGATATGTATTGTATAGCGAACCTCACCCAGAACCGGGGCGGTGGGGTAGCCTATTGGTTAAAGCGTTGACTCGTCACGCCGAAGACCCGGGTTCGAATCCCCAGATTGGTACAATGTGTGAAGCCCATTTCTGGTGTCCCCCGCCGTGATGTTGCTGGAATATTGCTAAAAGCGGCGTAAAACCAAACTCAGTCAGTCAGTCAGTCACCCAGAACCCTTATCAACATGCATTACGTAATTCTGTCAGCATAGTTACTTTAGCTCGCAATAACAACCTTATCACCAGTCTAGTTAGGTTAAACGATCGATATAAAGCACTTTAAGTTCACAAGTACTACTTTATCGTCGGTTTGATTAGTATATGATTAGGCTTGACGGCTCATGTTCATATATTCAGACCTTTGCTGTGCACATTGGTAGTTCTGCCTATTCCCATGTGTTTGCGCTTTAATGTAAAAATATCTCTCGCAAGGTCATAGAGTGACTCGATCAAAAAATTACAGCTTAATTTGTTTTGAATTTAGGCTTCTTTTGTATATTTTGGTTACCATGGATTTGGCATCAGAACCTTGACAAGGCTGTTGTCGAACAAACTTGTCATTCAAACACAACTGCACAACATCATCAAATGTTATCCATTTATCAAAGCAAGCACGGGAACTTGAAACGATTGAAAAAATGGATCAATCCATGTAGATATGATAATAATGAATGTTTTAATGAGTACATCGCCACTTCACTTCCTTATGACTATAGTTGTTTGTACAGTAATCACGGTCAACATCAAGAATGACGCCCCATACCCGTGTGTGGAGCTATTGTGTTGTGCACGTGCATCCCATGCGTTGTGTCTAGGGGCAGAGATAAAGAGAATTGGTGATGCGTTCAAAAGATGTCTGTCTGTCAAAGAAATGTTAACACTTATCGTTCCTATCCAAACTGAAAGTTCAGGTTCCAATATGTTTTCTTAAAGTATAGTTATTTGCAATCTCCCTCCGTAATGAAGCCCAGACAAGTAAAATGAAGTGTCGATTCAAACATTGTCTTAACGACCTGTCACTGGCATTGTTTAAGCAAAACAGAAATACATTGTTTGTTTAGAACATTTTTGTACAAAGGTCACAAATATTTTGATTTTAGAATGTACATCAGATCAAAATTGGTGAGATAGAGTTAAGCGATGCCTTTCAGTGACGGGATACACATATCAATATTCGTGTTGTTTCCGTTTTGCGAGGTCACAGAATGACGTCACCGTGACACGAGTAGTTGATCACTGCATTGTCTGGTCCAGACTCGATTATTTACACACCGCCGCCATATAGCTCGAATATTACTGAGGGTGGCGTAAAGCTAAACTCACTCACTCTCTCACCCACAAAGAAATAATGCAGGTGATTCATGCCGAGTTCCATTCAGAGTAACATACTTTAACCCATTTGGTGATGGCACAGCCAGAGATTATATGACTGACGTCTCGCGGTCACACATTCGTTCACTTGACAAGGAACCGTTGGATCAAACTGGAAACTGCAAAGACAAGACTCTGTAGCATTGGGCAGAGTGAGACCTTTTCGAAGTTTGTGCTCACTGGGTATGTGATAATTTAGAGTATATGTCGCCAACAACAACACATTGAAGCCTGCCTCCATCCGCGACGTCGTAAACGTCATCTTCCACTCCAGCAGCTTCACCCCCACCTCTGTAGTTCCCAGGTGACTCAGAAGCCGGGGTCATGTCCGTCAGCTGTATGTCGGTGTACCACTCCAGCTCCTGTACAGAGGTATCGTCCATCTCGGCAGCCCTGGGGCGTACAGGGTCCTCTGTCTGGGGGGCACTGTGAGGTAAGAACAATGAAAATTGATATATTTAGCACAGGACCAACATTGACCACATCACAGTCAAAATTTGGGTTTAAAAAAATATAGGTTCATCACATATCTGAATATTTATGGTTTGTTAGAAAGCGTGAGCAGTTGTGAAACGAAAAGAGAAGACAGTCGTCCAAGTAAAGAGGCAACATTATCACATCACACCACCTGTCCTGTGTAGAATCAACCGTGGACATCTGGTGACATTATCACATCACACCACTTGTCCTGTGTAGAATCAACCGTGGACATCTGGTGACATTATCACATCACACCACTTGTCCTGTGTAGAATCAACTGTGGACATCTTGTGACATTATCACATCACACCACTTGTCCTGTGTAGAATCAACCGTGGACATCTGGTGACATTATCACATCACACCACTTGTCCTGTGTAGAATCAACTGTGGACATCTGGTGACATTATCACACCACACCACCTGTCCTGTGTAGAATCAACCGTGGACATCTGGTGACATTATCACATCACACCACTTGTCCTGTGTAGAATCAACCGTGGACATCTGGTGACATTATCACATCACACCACTTGTCCTGTGTAGAATCAACCGTGGACATCTGGTGACATAAACTGACGTACTAAACAAAGTACACACCTGATGCTTTGGTAAAATGGTTTCCTGAAAACAGCGTAATATTTAGATGAGTGTTTTGATTGCGACTCACAAGTCACACACATTGTGTATGTGTTGCAATAACACCATAGATAGCGTACCCTAATGGAACATTGCTGGCAAAATATTTACGTTGTTTTAATAGTCTCAAAACACCAGTCTAGCTATTCTCGAACGTTCGAACTTCGTAAGCCCATTCTCAACGCATTGGCTACGATGAAAGTTAAGAATTCTTAGGGCTACAAACGTTTCGGGAATAAGGACCCTGGTGTGTACTTTTTTTGTTCACCAGTATATTTACTTCATTTTTTGGTTATATAGAGTTATAGTCTAACTCCCTCGTTCGCAGTGACACAGTAAGACGCTGCTTTTAGCAATATGCCAGCTATATCACTGCAGGAGACACCAGAAATACACTTGACGCAGAGCACCCATGTGTGGAATCGAAACCGATTCTTCGACGTGCCCAGCGGACGTTTTAACCACTATGCTACCACACCAACCCAGTCGTTTGGAAGAGTGAAGGGATTGGTTTTAGTGTAGGAGAGAATCAACTACTGTTGCTATGAAATGAGAGCCCTGTCACACTTTTGCACTTCTGCATATCTTTATTCTTTATGAGTTGCGCATTGACATTTTTTTTCAGACGCAGTCGTACGCACAATACGCAGCTCTTGTGCATCTCAATCGTTTTGTGTACGTTTTACGTACGCCGGCATGCGCACATTACTGCCCAGCAGGTGTGATAGTTTTGGACGTGCACAAAATGATGCTGCGTACGCTGTTACGCAGGTCAGAAGTTATAAATACAGAGTGCATCGATCCCAGGTCGGTCGAGCGCGGTACGTATCTGCTATGTGTTCGTAGCGGTTCCTACGCGGAAATACGCCCGGCACGAGATATGAGAAGCGTATATTTGACGAATACATAGCGTACTTGCAGCGCAGATACAATGGACGCTGAGCGAACTCCTTGCGAATGCTAACGTACTGCACTATTCAGTACCGCTTGTATGCAATCTGGCAGCCGCCGTTATAATAAACCGACATCAGTTATATAGGTGCATCAGAAGTGCGTCAGGCATGCGGTCGGCATAAGTTAGGTGTGTCCGAAATACGCTTGACAGGCAGAGAAAAACACGATTTGTGGTGTGTTTTTCATCACTGTTTAACTGTTGACAGGATAAGATCGAAAGCTGTATGATTTGACTCCAGGCATCGTGCCACACCCTTGAAGAGATGTGTCAAAAGTCAGTTAATACATTCAGCATCCACTGGTGTTGATGAAGGTTTGACAACAATGACGCATAGACAACACTAAGCGATTGAAGAAAGCTTGAGGAATGATGTTCTGTGTCTGAACCAACACTTGTTCCAATTCAGTTTGTCAGTGGCGGATTCTGGGTTTGACGTAAACGTCGGTCCATTTCATCCCAAACATTCTCACTAGGCAATGGGGTCCCGAGAAACAGCTGGCAAGGGGAGTATAGGAATGTCCTTCTGTCACAACACAAACCACCAGTATCTTGCCGAAGCGTGAACTTACGTCTCTGTCCTTGAATGAACGGCTGCACCTGAGGTCCAACAATCCCATCCCTTTATCGGTTGTGTCGGACAATGAGATGTGATGACGCCCCATACCATAACGCTTTCGCTACCAAACTGTCGACGTTGATCAACACACGCGTCAGCATACCGTCCAGCATCACCGTCTGTACACCTTTGACCAGCCATCTGAGCTGTCCAGAAGAAATGTCGACAAAACACCATCCCAATCCTGTCTCATGTGCCATAGATGCTGTCTGCACCACGCAAGATGTGGCTGTCGGTGACGTTGGAACATAATTGGACGTACAGGCCGTCAGGGATGGATGTTGTGCTCCCTTAATCTGTACATTCCTGAACTGATTGGACGTAAGCCAGGAATGGTCCGAGCAGTCAAACTGGCAGTCTGGAATCGATTCCTTAGATGGGTCAGCCGAATGTGGTTGTCTTGCCAATTCGGCGTCAAGCGTGGATGCCCGGTCCGAGGCAAATCTCTCGTGTTGCCACATGTTGAAAACGTTTCCATAGAGATGAGATCGTGTTTCGATGGACACCCAAATCTCTGGCCACTTCATTTTGGACCATTCCAGTCTCCAGCATACCCACGCTGACGCTGAATGTCTGTAAGTCGAGGCATGACGTACACGCTGTTTAGGCTGAACTTAACGTGTTTTCCACAAAATTCAAAGGTTAGAGAAAAAGCAATCGTTCTTCAATTTTCAATATCAGGTGTGTGAACTTCAGGTGTAAAAAAAACATGCAAAAAGTTCATTGTGCACAAAGTGCACAAGTCAAGCGTGATACGTAACATAAAATTCCGTGCAAAGACAGTGCTTTGATACATGTTTATTTTAAAATTAATTTTATTGATGTAATTTTATGCTATGCACAGTTACTTTTTTCCGCTAGTCGCGGAAGGTCGCGGGTTGGATCCCCGACCGTGTCATAGCAAAAGACGTTAAAATATTGTACTTGTTGGTGCCTGCCTGGCGCACGACATTAATGGGTACAACAAGGACTGGTCGGCTCGGAGTCAGTATAATGTGTCTGAGTGGGGTATTCATGCTTCAGTATGGTATGGTATCCTCACTATAAACCCAGCTTCAGTCTGGGCTAGTACAAACAACCACACATACACGCGCATGCACGTCGTCATATGAGCGAAATGTATCAAGCACGACGTTAAACCCAATTTCACCTCACCTCTAATCGTTTACATTCTTTACAGGTTTTCGCCCAATCGTAAAGCAGCCATACTATTCTCAATCAAATGACTAGTTGTCAAACGAACTCGAGCGCAATTATTTATGTAGTCTATTCTGTCTAGCAAAGGTAACATTGAATTGAGTTGTGTTTTAGCAATATTCAAGCAACAGAAATGAGCTTTACACATTGTGGATAGTCGGACCTAGGTCTCTTCGTTGTGACAACAGAACGCTAAACCAAGAGACTGGCCCACTAAGCGACATGAGACACGATATCATAACGGTATAAATATATGTTTTGTCGTTATGCACTAGTCAGTAATATGTTTGCTGTATCACAGAGACCTGTTAATACTACAGTAGTGCATAGTGTACTGACTCGCTCTGTTAGAAATGTTGGGATTCCGTCACCGGGAATGTTGGGATTCCGTCACCGGGAATGTTGGGATTCCGTCATAGGGAACGTTGGGATTCCGTCACAGGGAATGTTGGGATTCCGTCACAGGGAATGTTGGGATTCCGTCACAGAGACCTGTAAATACTACAGTAGTGCATGGTGTACTGACTCGCTCTGTTAGAAATGTTGGGATTCCGTCACATGGAATGTTGGGATTCCGTCACAGGGAATGTTGGGATTCCGTCACAGGGAATGTTGGGATTCCGTCACAGGGGATGTTGGGATTCCGTCACATGTTGGGATTCCGAATGTTGGGATTCCGTCACATGGAATGTTGGGATTCCGTCACAGGGAATGTTGGGATTCCGTCACAGGGAATGTTGGGATTCCGTCACAGAGACCTGTAAATACTACAGTAGTGCATGGTGTACTGACTCGCTCTGTTACAAATGTTGGGATTCCGTCACATGGAATGTTGGGATTCCGTCACAGGGAATGTTGGGATTCCGTCACAGGGAATGTTGGGATTCCGTCACAGGGGATGTTGGGATTCCGTCACAGGGAATGTTGGGATTCCGTCACATGGAATGTTGGGATTCCGTCACAGGGAATGTTGGGATTCCGTCACAGGGAATGTTGGGATTCCGTCACAGAGACCTGTAAATACTACAGTAGTGCATGGTGTACTGACTCGCTCTGTTACAAATGTTGGGATTCCGTCACATGGAATGTTGGGATTCTGTCACAGGGAATGTTGGGATTCCGTCACATGGAATGTTGGGATTCCGTCACAGGGAATGTTGGGATTCCGTCACAGGGAATGTCGGGATTCCGTCACAGGGAATGTCGGGATTCCGTCACATGGAATGTCGGGATTCCGTCACAGGGAATGTCGGGATTCCGTCACATGGAATGTCGGGATTCCGTCACAGGGAATGTTGGGATTCCGTCACAGGGAATGATTACAAACCTAACTCAGAAGCTAGACATTTTGTACGACGAAGGTATCATGGGAAATACGTAATGCATATATTGCTCACTCGCCCAACCACTCACTCACTCAGTCGCTGACTCAACCACTCACATAAGTACTTATTAAGCCATGCACTCAATCAGACACTCAACCCTGTCATCACACATTCAATCATTCAACCACTCACTGACTCACCTGTGCTGTTGTCTCACGCGTCGCCAATACTTGCAGTACACAACCAAGACGATCATTAGGATGAAACTGAACACTGCCGTGGACACTCCCACAGACAGTCCTACTGCACCACCTGACAGAGAAGAAGGTTAACCAAGTTATTGTGATCATGCGGAGTTCTCAACTTGTATTGTATGACACTCCCACAGACAGTCCTACTGCACCACCTGACAGAGAAGAAGGTTAACCAAGTTATTGTGATCATGCGGAGTTCTCAACTTGTATTGTATGACACTCCCACAGACAGTCCTACTGCACCACCTGACAGAGAAGAAGGTTAACCAAGTTATTGTGATCATGCGGAGTTCTCAACTTGTATTGTATGACACTCCCACAGACAGTCCTACTGCACCACCTGACAGAGAAGAAGGTTAACCAAGTTATTGTGATCATGCGGAGTTCTCAACTTGTATTGTATGACACTCCCACAGACAGTCCTACTGCACCACCTGACAGAGAAGAAGGTTAACCAAGTTATTGTGATCATGCGGAGTTCTCAACTTGTATTGTATGACGCTCCCACAGACAGTCCTACTGCACCACCTAACAGCGAAGAAGGTTAAAGAAGTTACTGCGATCATGCCGTGTTCTCAACTTGTATTGTATGACAATCCCACAAAGTCCACTGCACGGCCTGACAGAAGAAAGGGTTAACTTCTGAACAGCCAATAAAAGACACTTGATCATACCGAATTATCAACTTGTATAGTCCTCCTAAACAAAATGCACCTATTAGACAAAGGTGCTGGGTTTCCCTCCGTGTTGATTCCTGTCACCGGGGGGCGTCGGGGTAGCCTAGTGGTTAAAGCGTTGGCTCGTCACGCCGAAGACCCGGGTTCGAATCCCCACATGGGTACAATCTGTGAAACCCATTTCTTGTGTCCCCCGCCGTGATGTTGCTGGAATATTGCTAAAAGCGGCGTAAAACCAAACTCAGTCAGTCAGTCAGTCAGTCCTGTCACCGGATCAGTAAGTTGTTCCCAGGACTAAATAGTGATGTGGTAAGGAGAGTAATGACATTTACCTTGTCTCATGGCAATACCGACCTGATTCACAATCTGTACCATAATGGGCGTCAATACATCCAGACACACAGGAGGACCCAAGCTGACAATATCCTCCATCACAACCACCTGGACATGCTGTACAGTTACCTCCTGGACTGTCACATGGTATGTTGCATCTCTGACCTTGATATCCTGGCTCACAACCCTCGGTGCACCGTCCACTACCTTCAGCAGATTGATTACACAGGTTACCTTTACAATGACCATCGCACACAGAGAAACATTTTAGATCAAAGTACCCCGTGTCACACTCAGTGAGGCAATGTCCCGTCGTGTTGTCACAGTCAGAACAGTGCTGGTTGTCCAAACACGGACCCGCTGAAATTGAAGTTATTGGTTGATTAAAAAAAGAACATTTAGTGGACACTAAATGTGGTCTTTAGAAAACGAGGCTAATCGTAGCTCAAACTGTTCGCCAAAGACCCGGGTTCGAGTCCCCATGTGAAGCCCATTCCTGGTGTACCACGCCGGGATATTGCTTGAATATTGTTAAAACCATATTCACTCACTCGCTAAGCGAGACAAAAGATGCCTACCTGTATTGTGTAAGTCTGACTACCTGTATATGCCTACCTGTATTGTATAAGTCTGATTACCTGTATATGCCTACCTGTATTGTGTAAGTCTGACTACTTGTATATGCCCACCTGTATTGTATAAGTCTGACTACCTGTATATGCCTACCTGTATTGTGTAAGTCTGACTACCTGTCTATGCCTACCTGTATTGTATAAGTCTGACTACCTGTATATGCCTACCTGTATTGTGTAAGTCTGACTACCTGTATATGCCTACCTGTATTGTGTAAGTCTGACTACCTGTATATGCCTACCTGTATTGTGTAAGTCTGACTACCTGTATATGCCTACCTGTATTGTATAAGTCTGACTACCTGTATATGCCTACCTGTATTGTGTAAGTCTGACTACCTGTATATGCCTACCTGTATTGTGTAAGTCTGACTACCTGTATATGCTTACCTGTATTGTGTAAGTCTGACTACCTGTATATGCCTACCTATATTGTGTAAGTCTGACTACCTGTATATGCCTACCTGTGTTGTGTAAGTCTGACTACGCCTCTAGATTTGAAAAGATAACACACAAAACACAAAACCTAATTATTACAAAAAGAAGGACCATTCTAGATAAAGCTTTGAAATAAACATAAAGCTTCTGTGTGAATGCGAATTAGTATAGCTTTTCATTTGTATTTGAAAGTTGGATACTTAATTATACACCTACTTCGCTTGCTCAACAATATATACGCCAACTAAGGACAACGCGTCTGGCCACGATTAAGACTGTGTGACTCACAGTAATTCCTAATGAAATTTCAATATTATTTCCATTCGACGTTTCTCGACACGTTCTGGTAGCTTAATGAAGCAATGTACATCATATTTGGATACTATCCGAAATCCATACGACAATCAACGCCTCCGTGTCAACACAACAAGAAGTTCTGTCCCCTTGTGAGGCCGTAAGCACGAAACGTTACAAGAAGATACTTGATGTTACCTTGCCTGTGCCTATCATGACAGGAGAGAGGAATGATAAGTTTGGATTCAGTCTACTGTGCCCGTATGGGTAACCAACGTTACAAGAAGATACTTGATGTTACCTTGCCTGTGCCTATCATGACAGGAGAGAGGAATGATAAGTTTGGATTCAGTCTACTGTGCACGTGTTGGTAACCAACGTTACAACAGTGTGGCACAGTACCCTGGTAGCGATCAAACATATCAGAAGTGGCCAAATACACAGATTCACACACGACGCTATTTAAGTGAAATATACCTGTACGCAAAGATAACCACCATTTGATCTCAACTCGTAAGACAGCCCAGTCGTTATTAACATCAAAACATGTAACTGTTGTGCTAATGTTACATACACAAATTAAACAGACAAGATGTGCCAAAGCAATATTCTACCTTCAACAGCCATTACCAGGCATGCTATCCATATGACCTCCGAGACGATCATCCTCTTGACTGAAACTGACATGGACGAGTAAATACGTGACCCAGCGCATAACTGATTAATATACACAATGAAATATATATGTATGTGGCGGAGGGAGGGAGGCTGGAGGGGATATTGATGTACATGTCGACAAACATCCAGCACCCGTCTGTCACAATCTCATCATACTTCCCGTTGATTCATTTCCCTCTGACCGGGCCACAAGGAAATATTACTGTGCATATATCTATTAAATAGTGACACATAATTAAAATATGTTCAGTAGTACGTTAATTAAGAAGTTTTGACTATGCTTGAATTTACTATTTGAATATACACGACATAACCATTTCCACAGTCATAAGAAATCTCTGCCAAAAGCAGAGTCGATTGTACGATTGACTATATCATGAGTATGTATTTGTTTCAAAAGTGTTACAGCTGTACGATGTTGCTTGTAAACAAATCTAGTCTGGACCAGACAATCCTGTGATTATAACGATGCGATACGATGACAGAGCATGTGTTTATGAATCACCGTGAAACAGTCATGATACCAAGTGTTAGCGGAAAGGTAAGCGCATCCTGTGGCACTAGTGGTCAAAGCGTTCGCTCCTCATGCCGGAGACCCGGGTTTGATTCCCCACATGGGTACAATGTATAAAGACCCGTGAAAGTCCGGGTTAGAATACTGATCTTCAGTAAGCCAGTGTTCACCTGAAATAATTCGGGAACGTATGGTCAGAAGTCAAAATAAGGAATTGGATGAGTCACACTTTGTCACTGTATATAAGAAATTGTTTTATTTATGAAATCGCGTGGAAGACGTCAACAGTCGGCAGTAGCCACTTTCCTTCCTGCGTGTGTCATGTCTGCTGTCGTTCTGCTTCATTCTCTGTTTGTAGGCTGGATGAGTACATTTGTACAACCCAGATCACGTGACATGTTCGACTGATGTACCTTACCTGATGTATGCTCAAACGTCCAGACATAAACACATGTGTCGTGACTCGCCAGAGGGAGCACCAAACACTGTTCGGGACTGAACGAAAAAAAAATTCCCCATAGAATTATTGAGTTTACAGGTTGGAAATGCTTACACGCCCCTTAACATACAAATACTGTGTTTTGTGACATTTGTAGCTTGAGTCCCAAGCCATTACACACAACACGTTCTTCCGAGCCGGACATGTATTTTTCTATGTCAAGGGACCGCCTCCGTAGTGTAGTGGTTAGAGCGTCCGCCCGTAGTACGGAAGGTCGCGGGTTCGATCCCCGACTGCGTCATACTTAAAGACGTTAAAATATGGTACTTGTTGGTCCCTGCCTGGTCGGCTCGGACTGGTCGGTTCGAAGTCAGTACAATGTGTCTGAGTGGGGTATTCATGCTTCACTGCGGCATGGTATCTCAGTGGGCTAACACTTTAAAACCAGCTTCAGTCTGGGATAGTACAAGCAGCCGCACATACACATACACGCGCATGCACGTCGTCATATGAGCGATATATTCTCAAGCACGACGTTAAACCCAATTTCACCTCAGCTCACCTATGTCAAGAAGGTTCCGTGTAAACAATTTACAAGGGAGGTAACTCTAACGCTTAAATGTAAAAGCGGATAAAATAGTAATAAAACAAGTAGTTCGATATCTCTACACACAAACACATCTTAATCAGTGAACCAGTGGTCAACATATAGACAGTGATCTAGTCCGACAAGCATGTCTTTGGGTATTCTCGCTACAGTGACAGACCACCCCAGCGGTCAACAGTTAGACAGTGATCTAGTCCGACAAGCATGTCTTTGGGTATTCTCGCTACAGTGACAGACCACCCCAGTGGTCAACGCTTAGATAGTGATCAAGTCGGACAAGCATGTCTTTGTGTATTCTCGCTACATTGACAGACCACCCCAGTGGTTAACGCTTAGGTAGTGATCTAGTCCGACAAGCATGTCTTTGGGTATTCTCGCTACAGTGACAGACCACCCCAGTGGTGAACGCTTAGTTAGTGATCTAGTCGGACAAGCATGTCTTTGTGTATTCTCGCTACAGTGACAGACCACCCCAGTGGTGAACGCTTAGACAGTGATCTAGTCCGACAAACATGTCTTTGTGTATTCACGCTACAGTGACAGACCACCCCAGTGGTTAACGCTTAGATAGTGATCTAGAACATGCTTCGACTATGACAGTGCACGCGGAAGGAGCTCTGACTCGCCCGCAACTTATCAAGTGCTGATAGTACGTGCAGCAAACAGAAACAATAACATTTAAACTGAAAGCTGCTGTTTGGACAGTCAGAGTCTACAACCTCACAAAGCGGGGGCGGATACAGATTTTTGAGTAAGGCGGTGGTGCACACCACACTTTCACGAGAGTTTCAATGGTCATTTAAAAAACTTTCAGGACAAAGTGTGGATCCGCCTAGGCAAGGAGTATGGTTGATGCGAAGTGGAGCTTCAATAATTCTCATGTAGTGAAGTACACGCTTTGAACAGGTGCGTGACCAAAAGGTACAATTGTTATCACTAATTTACATTTTGTTCATTTGCATTTTGTCAACCTGCCCTGTAAAACACGTTAACTATAACGAAACTATCTGTATCTGTAATTGTGCCGTGAGATAAATGCGAAGACAACTTATTCGTGTGTTAAACACGTTTCGATTCCCGGTGATGGGTTTGTCTGAGTACATTTGATTTAGTCGTCTCAGATTGAGATTTTACGTACGATTCATTTCCTCAGCGTCATCTGTTGGAACTCTCCTACTCAGGAGATAGAAATATCAGGTAGGCTTCCGCATGGTCTCGGGGTTGTAGCGGGATAAATTTCCTTTCTACACACTTAAATTAGGCCAAACTTACGCCGACCATAGAGTGAGTATAAGAGCCAAGTTATCACTGATGCTTAACTATTTATAAAGGTATAATTACGTGATATGTCCATCAAAACAGTCGGTTTTTGTGCTCCACCTGTGACTCGGCTGAATTCAGTCATGCAATGTTGTTCGGTTTACTGCATGTACATGTGAATGTGATTTGTTTTTTGACATACTTTATTGATTTATGGTGTAAACAAACAACAAAGGTGTATATAACGAGAATATATAATTGAAATACGGTTTGTCAGCTTATTCAGTAAACATTTCACTTATTCAAAGTATATTTACTGAAGCGTTCCTAAAATGGCTTTATTTTGTCCACGTTAAAGAAGTACGTGCTGTCAATGTAATGACTAAATAGATTCATGTTATTTTGTAGACGTTCACCCGTTGTCAGCATACTTGATCTTGATGAAGTAAACACAATTCTAATGTCTGCTGATATGTCTGTTCCGAGGGTAATGCAATATAAGGTGAGTAACTTGCTTCTGACATGTTAAATTACATAGCCTAAGTTCAACATGCGAGTTCAAATCCACACTCAGCGCTTTAAACTTTTTTAACCCATAATGACTAACAGTTAATTAATTAAAATTATAATTTACAAATTGCGCAGATCCATGTTCATGCTGTTGATCACAGGATTATCTGGTACAGAATCGATTATTTATAAACCGCCGACATATAGCTGGAATATTGTGCGGCGTAAAACTGAACTCACTCACTCACTAAAATTTAACTCACTCACTTGGTATGCTACCCTTGAACATCCGGGTTAGAACTGATCTTCAGTAACCCATGCTTGTCGTAATAGGCGACTAATGGGATCGGGTGGTCAGGCTCGCTGACTTGGTTGACACATGCCATCGTATCCCAATTGCGTAGGTCGATGCTCATGCTGTTGATCACTGGATTTTCTGGTCCAGACTCGATTATTTACAGACCGCCGCCATATAGCTGGAATATTACTGAGTGCGGCGTAAAACTAAACTCACTCACGCACTCGCTCACTTGGTATGAACAAACATTGTTGACATTATTTAAAGTTTTATGTAAGCTTGCCAAGAGAGTGTTGCTGTTGTCCTGGGCTTGGGTAATAAATCCCTGTTTGACTGTTCTAATTGGGTGTTTTACACAATTAATTCTATGTTTTATTCTAATTTTCGGTGATAACAGTCCTCTAAACATTTACTTGACGTTGAGGCCGTGTCCGTGGTGTAGTGGTTAGAGCGTCCGCCCGGAGAGCGGAAGGTCGCAGGTTCGATCCCCGGCCCTGTCAAACCGTACGTTAAAATATGGTAATTGTTGGTCCCTGCCTGTCGCTCGGCATTAATGGGTACAACAAGGACAGGTCGGCTCGGAGTCAGTATAATGTGTCTGAGTGGAGTATTCATGCTTCACTGCAGCATGATATCTCAATTGGCTAGCACTATAAAGCCAGCTTCAGTCTGGGCTAGTACAAGCAGCCACACATACACACACATGCATGTCGTCATATGAGCGAAATATTGGTAAATGCGACGTTAAACCCCATTTCACCTAACCTAGGTGTTGAAGAGGTTATGCTTGTCAGGTGAGGCTTCTAGGTTTTGTGTACAGAGGGTCATTCTGCTCCAGTACATGTGTAGGGGTCGGAAGATCTCTGATTTTATCACTTTGTTGCCTTTACTTATTTACCACCCTGAAACAGTATGATGAGTTCACTAAAACACCTAGCTATGACAAAGACAGCAAGACGTGAGGACCTCAAGAGGTGTTTTTAGGTTCAGCTCACCTAATTTACAGCAAAATGTGCTTGTCATGGCCTACCTGTGAGTCCGAACATCTTAAACTATCTCTGTTATTTACAATCAAGTCTCCCTACTACTTTATTTATTAGATATGTATAACTTGCCGTGTGTATGACCTCCCTTCGTCAGCGTATGACCTACCTTTGTCAGCGTATGACCTACCTTCGTCAGCGTATGGCATCCCTTCGTCAATGTATGACCCCCCTTCGTCAGTGTATGACCTCCCTTAGTCAGTGTACGACCTCCCTTTGTCAGTGTATGACCTCCCTTCGTTAGTGTGTATCCTTTCTTCCTCAGTGTATGACCTCCCTTCGTCAGTGTATGACCTCCCTTCGTTAGTGTATATCCTTTCTTCCTCAGTGTATGACCTCCCTTAGTCAGTGTACGACCTCCCTTCATCAGTGTATGGCATCCCTTCGTCAGCGTATGACCTCCCTTCGTCAGCGTATGACCTCCCTTTGTCAGTGTTTGACCTCCCTTCGCCAGTGTATATCCTTTTTTCGTCAGTGTATGGCCTCCCTTCGTCAGTGTATGACCTTCGTTCGTCAGTGTATGGCCTTCCTTCGTCAGTGTATGACCTACCTTAGTCAGTGTATGACATCCTTTCGTCAGTGAATGGCCTCCCTTCGTCAGTGTAGGGCCTCCCTTCGTCAGTGTATGACCTCCCTTCGTCAGTGTATGACCTCCCTTCGTTAGTGTATGACATCCCTTTGTCCCTGGAGGCAGTTTTGCTACAATCACCAGGCGCTCACCGTTTCAGCCTTTTCAAAAATGGGCGATGGATAGCTGTCATGCCGAATACCCGGGTCCGATTCCTTACATACCCGTGAAGGTTCGGGTTAGAATATTTATCTTCAGTAACCCATGCTTGTTGTAAGATTCGACTAACGGGATGGGATGGTCAGGCTGGTTGACACATGTCATCGGTTCCCAAATGCGTAGATCGATGCTCATGCTGTTGATCACTGGATTGTGTGGTCCAACCTCGATTATTTACAGACCGCCGCCATATAGCTGGAATTTTGCTGAGTGCGGCGTAAAACTAAACAAACTCACTCACTCGATTCCCTACATGGTTGCAAATTAAGCGGTGACTCCCCCACCGTGATATTGATGGCATATTGCGAAAAGCGACATAAAACCATACTCTTTAATGTCAACGTAATGCTGAAGGTGAATCTTGAAATGATGACGACCTTAGACTTTTGTCATGACGCTAGCAGGTCCACACCATAATACATTCGTTAAGATGTATGTGATTTGGTCCTCTTGGATATCATCAATAGCTTACAGATGTTCTAAATACCAGGATGCCCCTCTGAAGGAATACCACACACTGGGATATTGCTAAAAGAGGCGTAAATCCATACTTACTTACAGATGTTCTAAATATCAGGATTCCCTTCTGAAGGAATGGCACACACTGGAATATTGCGTAAATCCATACTTACTTACAGATGTTCTAAATATCAGGATGCCCTTCTGAAGGAATGTCACACACTGGAATATTGCTAAAAGAGGCGTAAATCAATACTTACTTACAGATGTCTGGATAATAATGAAGGCGAATGCCGAAATAATGACGATCATACAAGTTTGTCATTTTGTATAAAACGTCCGTTAAGATGTCGGAGATCATTAATACACCATAAATGTTCCTAAACACAAAGGGTTATCATTGTGAACAAATGGTATACACTGGAAATATTTAGGGAGTTTCTGGCACCTTTGTATTCTTAAATCTAAATGTTATTGCTGTATTATCAAAAAAATCGCTACTGCAGCCGTACGACATTACTGTATATCGATATTAACTTGTACAATGTTATTACCCTTCAGATCAAAGGAACATTGCTGTTATCTCCCAACTAGCAATGGTCATAATGGTGGCCCTCGCCCTCACGACACTGGCCAGTGTCCACGCAACTTCTCCCAATGTTCGGGTCAAGAGAAGGCCTGTAGATCAACCACATGAAGGAATGTGCTCCAACTTCTGGTGGGGTGGAATTTCTAAAGTTCACTTTTACACCTGCTGTAACAACCTGGATGAAGGTCCTAATCCCTATTGCGATGGTCGCACCTATCACAGAGCATCTAATGGATCCTACTGTAAACCTGGTGGGTTTGACGGCGGGAACGGTGAACAACATGAATCTTACCGTTGTGGAGGATGTGATGGACAGGCCCGGGTAGCTGAGAAATGCGAGCCATGGCCTTCACTGGATGTTGTAGGAACATGCTGGGTATTCACTAAGTGCTTCACAGACTTCTGCGAAAAGCGGTACCGAGTGAATGGGTTAAACCTTGCAGTAAGGGATAGGCCAGGAATGCCAGACACCTGCTACAACGGAAAGTGTGATGTCGGAGAAACTACAGACAACTGCCCAGTCGACTGCTGCTACACGAAAAACAAACAGTGTACCTGGGGTAACAAATGTACGCAGCTATTTTGTGCCACCCCGTCTTGTGGGGTGGGGTGGAGTGGAGGTGATGGTGTGTTTACAGCTGGGACATATGGCATCAAGATCCTGGCTGCCGCTGTGCTAGTGCTGGGTGTCTCCATTGTTTATTTTTTCAGAAGGAAGAGGCAATACAAGCGGGCACAGTCACACAATGTTTAAAACAGATTTTCTCTTGATGAATGTTTGATAAATGTACGTTAATAGATTTTTAACAATTTGTAAATATGTTGCTTTCAACAATAACTTAATATTCACAACGATCGCTTCGGTAACATGAAGTGATATGTAACATTCTTAGTATTTTCTTCTTTGAGAAATATTTTAGAAGTTGTGAAGATGAAGGAAAACTTCTTTGGACAGTCAACCTCTGTGTTTCGGTGTAGTTACTAACACCGTTATTAAGGAAGTGATAAAAAGAGTTGAAAGAAGGAGAATATATACATAGCTGCATTGTGAGTATATACAATTGACAAGGTAGATGTCCATTGTGAGTATATACAATTGACAAGGTAGATGTACATTGTGAGTATATACAATTGACAAGGTAGATGTAGCATTGTGAGTATATACAGTTGACAAGGTAGATGTACATTGTGAGTATACATAATTGACAAGGTAGATGTACATTGTGAGTATATACAGTTGACAAGGTAGATGTACATTGTGAGTATATGCAATTGACAAAGTAGATGTACATTGTGAGTATATACAGTTGACAAGGTAGATGTACATTGTGAGTATACATAATTGACAAGGTAGATGTACATTGTGAGTATATACAGTTGACAAGGTAGATGTACATTGTGAGTATATACAATTGACAAAGTAGATGTACATTGTGAGTATATACAGTTGACAAGGTAGATGTACATTGTGAGTATATAAAATTGACAAGGTAGATGTACATTGGACATCTAATTAATGATTTGGGCAGAGTAGGTTGAAGTACACTGTGATTGGTTGTGATTAGAGGTTGAGTTTATACAATGGTGAGTTTGATGTACAATGAGGTGGTGATTAGTTAGTAGGTTGAAGTACACTGTGATTGGTTGTGATTAGAGGTTGAGTTTATACAATGGTGAGTTTGATGTACAATGAGGTGGTGATTAGAAAGTAGGTTGAAGTACACGGTGATTGGTTGTGGTTAGAGGTTGAGTTTATACAATGGTGAGTTTGATGTACAATGAGGTGGTGATTAGTAAGTAGGTTGAAGTACACTGTGATTGGTTGTGATTAGAGGATGAGTTTATACAATGGTGAGTTTGATGTACAATGAGGTGGTGATTAGTAAGTAGGTTGAAGTACACTGTGATTCGTTGTGATTAGAGGATGAGTTTATACAATGGTGAGTTTGATGTACAATGAGGTGGTGATTAGTAAGTAAGTTGAAGTACACTGTGCTTGGTTGTGATTAGAGGATGAGTTTATACAATGGTGAGTTTGATGTACAATGAGGTGGTGATTAGTAAGTAGTCTGAAGTACACTGTGATTCGTTGTGATTAGAGGATGAGTTTATACAATGGTGAGTTTGATGTACAATGAGGTGGTGATTGGTAAGTAGGTTGAAGTACACTGTGATTGGTTGTGATTACAATACACAGAGTCAAGCGTGAAGAGATGGACAAGGGCGACATAGTCAGAACTATACTAGCATTCCACACACTGAGAGTGTAATAGTTGAGTTTGGCTTTACGTCACATCGGCATTATTCCAGCCGTATAGTGACGAGATCAAGTCTACATTTATGAACGTTTTAAATCTAAGGTCCTAATGAGTTTTATTTTAAACACACACACACACGCACACACACATATTCATTACATTATTATTTACAAACAGAAAATGTCATAGCACCAAATTCAAAAGCAAGCAGTTTGTTATTCACATAACATGGCTACAATTTATGATACAAGTTAACGTCCCTCGGGAAGTCAACAATGTGGGAAAACAGATCTTTTAGATTTCTCGCATCATCATCATTATCATCATCGTCATCATCATCGTCGTAACACATTTGTAATGCGCTGGTATCCATGCAGTTCATGCTCAAAGCGTAGATAGAAAGTAACAAATTACAAAATTATAGAGTTGAAAAGTTTGTCCTGAACAAATGTGTCTTTAACCGGGATTTGAAAGTGACAAAGTCAGTACAGTCCGTGAGATTCTGTGGAAGTTTGTTCCAGGCCACTGGTGCTGCATAGACAAAGGATCTGTTTCCATACTGCACTGTTCTTGTTTTAGGGACAACAAGCAGACTTTTATATTGAGAACGGGGCGAGCGAGAAGGCTTGTACAGAGAAAGAAGACTGGATAAGTATGTAGGGGCAATTCCAGACAGACAGCGGAGGACAACGCAGAGAAGTATAAACTCAATTCTGAACTCCACAGACCACTGGTGTAGAAAGTATAGAAGAGGAGTGATGTGACCATTGTTCCTGGATCTTGTCACAATGCGAGCTGCTACATTCTGGACTCTTTGTAGCGTTTGTATCTGATACTTGGTTGCACCGGCCAACAGACAGTTGCAGTCTGTCTGCTCATGACAAGGGATAGAACAAGAGTTGTTGCTGTTTCAGTTGTCAGGTATTGCCGGATATTGCCAATGCATCATAATGTAAGCCCCTTGCAGTTGAAAAGTCCGCACAGTCAAGCAGTATATGCTTGACGGTGAACACCTCATCGCAAGAGACACACAAAGGAGGTCCACCCACATTCGTTTTCAGCAGATAGTCATGGGTAAACTGACTGTGGCCAATACGACACAGTGGTAATAGGGGTGGTTGTGTACACCCACATTCAGCAGATAGTCCTGGGTAAACTGACTGTGGCCAATACGACACAGTGGCAATAGGGGTGGTTGTGTACACCCACATTCAGCAGATAGTCCTGGGTAAACTGACTGTGGCCAATACACCACAGTGGTAATAGGGGTGGTGGTGTACACCCACATTCAGCAGATAGTCCTGGGTAAACTGACTGTGGCCAATACGACACAGTGGTAATAGGGGTGGTTGTGTACACCCACATTCAGCAGATAGTCCTGGGTAAACTGACTGTGGCCAATACGACACAGTGGTAATAGGGGTGGTTGTGTACACCCACATTCAGCAGATAGTCCTGGGTAAACTGACTGTGGCCAATACGACACAGTGGTAATAAGGGTGGTTGTGTACACCCACATTCAGCAGATAGTCCTGGGTAAACTGACTGTGGCCAATACACCACAGTGGTAATAGGGGTGGTTGTGTACACCCACGTTCAGCAGATAGTCCTGGGTAAAGTGACTGTGGCCAATACGACACAGTGGTAATAGGGGTGGTTGTGTACATCCACATTCAGCAGATAGTCCTGGGTAAACTGACTGTGGCCAATACGACACAGTGGTAATAGGGGTGGTTGTGTACACTCACATTCAGCAGATAGTCCTGGGTAAACTGACTGTGGCCAATACGACACAGTGGTAATAGGGGTGGTTGTGACCAAGCTACAGTCGCCCAGTGACAGCTGAGGTAGGAACGGGATGTTAAATCAACCTGTTTGGACTTTGCGTTGTGTATTTATAATGTGTGTTCAGGTTCACTACCGCCTCTGTGGTGTAGTGGTTAGAGCGTCCGCCCGGAGAGCCGAAGGTCGCGGGTTCCATCCCCGACCGCATCATACCAAAAGACGTTAAAATATGGTACTTGTTGGTCACTGCCTGGCGCTCGGCATTAATGGGTACAACAAGGACTAGTCAGCGGTGGGTCAGTACTATAGAACCAGCTTAAGTCTGGGCTGGTACAAGCAGCCGCACATACACATACACACGCATGCACGTCGTCATATGAGCGAAATATTCTCAACACGACGTTAAACCCAGTTTCACCTCACCTCGGGTTCACTACTCAAAACTCAATGACCTGTTCGTCAGTCAGGCATAAAGCTTAATAGGAAATAACGGAAACAAACTGAACAGTAATAACAGTTTATTGCAAAAAGGTGGTGGAAAACTAGTCACAAAAACTGAACAACTTGTAAATGCCACAATTCCCTCACTCACAGACCTATTCAGCCCACGAATTCGTTAAACTACTCTTGAAGAAACACCCAAACCAACCCTTTCTAAACCGAACATAACCCCAGAACTACAGTCTAAATCATATTCCATTTCCTACGCTACTTTTCACACAACCCGACCTGCCGCGAGAATAAGAACACCTAACTCCCCTATACAGCGCCTAGCATCCTGTTTTATAATGGGGAGGGAATGGTTCTGAAACAGGACATCGGGACAGCAGTACATATACCTTTTTGTCAACAACATATCAACATAATTACAGCTTTAGCAAATATGGAAATATATTGCTTCTATTATTGAGATTGATGCAATTCTTGGGAAATATGGGTTGCTTAGCCCCTGTCTCTAATCAAAGTTCCCGGCAGTCATTTTGTCTGGATGCCCGTCACAGTCCATGTTATGACGTGTTTGAATCTCTTAGCTCATGCCGTGATAAATGCGGCACAGGTTTATTGGCCGTCGTCACGATGAACATCATACATCTTTGTTTCACTGACTGAATACCATCCTTTTTAGCAATACCAGATCATTGATATGCACCCTAGTTCAGGCGTGGGTGTTTGTTGCATGTATGATAACTGGTTGTCGTTTTAGAGTCACAAATACACCCATCAAATTTTGCATACCTAGTATTTTTGCAAATGAGGATCATTATTTTAGAGTCACAAATACACCTGTTTCATCCATTTTCACAATTGTTATTTGTTTTCTCGTAATCGCCAATTTAGGGTAAAATATCCGACCAATAGTGTCTGCCATAATCACTGTTACGACTTCGCAAAACATAATTCTCATCATTTCCCGAATTCCTACACGCCGTCACTTCCGGTTGACCTTTAACGTGTGGCGTCACAGGGGTTTATTTCGGGCGGTCCTGTATGAGCCTGGTGTACTACGGATAACTGATAGCCGGGACAACTGGAGTAGGCTGGATGCCAGTGAGTCCATCATACATCCTTGTTTCATCAACGACATCGTACTGAGGAGCATCTCCTGCCTCTGGGGACACGTCCATGTCCTGGGTGGGAGTGACGTACAGCTGGAACCTGCAAATGTTTGATAGGCGTTTTGTAGCAACGCACGGATGACAAATCGACCCAATTCATAGATAACAACTTCTTCAGTATAGTGCATAAATAAGTTGATGTCTCTAAAGTATGTGTATTATTTAATCTGGCGGACGATATGTTTGTTTAGACTACAAATGTGATCAGGAATGAACTTAACACTACCAGGAACGCAGATATATCTGGGGATCTTTATCCACTTCAGACAGTTTGAATGTATGAGTTTACACGTGCATACGGAGGGAATTAAGTTGTTTTTGTTACCCCGCTTTAAGCAAAATTCCAGCAATATCACGACAGGGGACACCAGACATTCACACATTGTACCCATGTGGGGAATCAAACCCGGGTCTTCGGCGTGAGGAGCAAACGCTACCCCACCATACCTCATTAATTTCAACATAATCAGTTGTCAAACATGTCTTTAAGCACACCAGCTGTTATCAGATTAGTTCATTTTTATGTTTATTATCTATAAAACCTAGTGAAAGCGGTTAACGATTTAATGATTTTACGATGTAATGCTGAGTGACCCGCATACTCTTATCAAGCGCTGAAATCCACATTAACATTTAAACTGAAAGCTGCTGTTTGGGTATTACCACAGATAGTCCCAGTCTATAACCTCACAAGGAGCACGGTTGATGCTCAGAGAAGTTTCACCATTCCCCGTGTACTGAACTACAGGCTTTGAAGAGGTGCGTGACCAAACTTACAGATGTTTCATTAACTATAGGTTACATAGGTAAGGGTAATTTGTGACTAATATGCCAGATGTTTCATTAACTATAGGCTACATAGGTAAGGGTAATTTGTGACAAATATTCCAGATGTTTCATTAACTATAGGTTACATAGGTAAG